CCTGTCAAACCCAAGGCAACAGCACCAGTCAGCCCCATCACCACTGAAGATGAAGAAGAATCTGATGACAATCACGCAGAAACCGCTGAAGATGACGAAACGGTAACCATTGAAAAATGCTTAGAGCTACTTGCAAGTCAAGCCGACAAGCACACTGGCGACAACGCTGAGGAGGACGAGCCCGAGTCAGATCCGGAAGATAAGACAAATACAACAACAAAGACCTCAACCATCCCCCCAACACCAGCGCAAGCACCACATACCGACATACCCGCTCCACCTGCGGCCACTTATTCCGACCCTTTGATCCTCAAGCACTCCATCAAAACCTTCGCTCGGGAAAATGGTTTCGTCATTGTCAGGAAGAGGACTGTTCCCGGGAAGAGTATCACTTTCAAATGTGACAGGTAAGTACTCCTTCTGCATAGCACTCAAATCAGAGCTCATGCTCAATGGCCAAACTTTTTCTCCATCTTATGTGTAGGGGTGGTAACCCAGCTCGAAACAGACGGAAGAATGACACACGCCCTGGACCCATCGTCAGTCGACTGATCGATTGCCCATTCGACGCAAGGGCCCAGATCCAGAAGAAGGCCGGAGGGGAATGGAAGTTTACCGTGGCCGATCCCCGACATAATCATGCACCCAGTGAAGATCCGTCCGGGCACACCGCCAATCGAAAACTCTCGAAGGAGCTCTATGAGCAAATGAAGAAACTAGGTGACGCGGGTTTAAAACCAGCTCAGGTTCTCCAATCACTCAAGAAGACACATCCCGATCAGTCGATCTTGGCCACTATTTCAACTGAGTACTCCGCCAGAAAGAAGGCTCGGGCCGAAGAGTTACGTGGTCTCAGCCCGATAGTTCATCTTAATCAAACCCTCACGACGGACTTCACCTCAGCAACCAAGGTAAATGATTCTGGCGAGATTCTAGGTCTTTTCTTCTGTCACAACCGCTCGCTTCAGCTCCTCCGTCATTTCCACTACATCTTATTCCTCGATTGCACCTACAAGACAAATAAGTATCGCATGCCCCTCCTCCACATTGCCGGCGTCACTGGATCCAACAAATCGTTCAGTGTCGCCTTCGCTTTCCTTCACGAAGAAACCGAAGAATACTACGAATGGGCTCTTGAATCTCTGCTCAACGTGTTCACTAGCAACGATATTCCTATCCCTGAGGTAGTCCTGACCGACCGGGAACAAGCGCTTATGAATGGTCTCAACTCCGTTTTCCCCACCGCGACTCATCTACTGTGTACCTGGCACATCAACAAAAACCTGATATCTAACGGGGCCAAAATGATCAAGGACAAGAAGAAGGAGGCTGAAATGATTCAACACTGGAAGAATCTCATCAAAATCACGACCACCGGGGACTTCAGGGCCGCCTTTGACCGATTCGCTGGAAGTTATGGTGAGAAATTCGGCAATTACATGCGCTCCAACTGGCTCCCAGTTGCGGAGAAATATGCGAACGCCTGGACGAGGGAAGTGCCCCATTTTGATCACCGGACCACATCTCGGATCGAATCTTCACATTCCTTTGTCAAATCTCATCTCCTTGGTCCCAATCAATCCCTCAACTCGACCATCAAAATGATCACCAACGCCATCGAAACCCAAGTACACAACATAAGCTCCCTCCACCGCCAGGAAAAAATGGACGCTCTCATGAATCTCGGTTCCCTGTTTGACAATTGCCTTGGCCGGATCACCCATTTTGCTCTGAGGAAGGCACAAAACAACCTGCGCATATCAGCAAACCTCGGGAAGAAGGATCATTGTAACGGCTTTCATCGACTCCGGACAGGTATTCCGTGTAAACATCGCCTAGCACAGTTGGCTCGGTCAGGCGGACGGTTGGAACCAGAAGACTTTCACCAACAATGGCATATCCACGTACGTTTGTTACATTTTTCAGCTCTTAGAGTCCTTAATAACATAGTCCTTCATTTTAATCAACAACAGGATATCCAACCAACAAACAATCCGGGACAAAACAACCCACAAGCCCTAGACCAGATCGAAACCGTCAAGCAAAGGCTCCTCCAAACAAACCCGAGCACGTTAACCATACAGCTTGACGCGATCTCTCGACTTCTGGACGGCTCTGCCACAGTTGTCGACCTTCAGTTACCGAAGCAGGTGCAATCAACTCGAGGTAGACCCAAAGGAGCTCTGAACAAACCCAAATCAACAACACGGGACCCGTCGGAATTCGAACACATTGAAAAAAAGAAGAAACTTGAAGAAAAAGCCGCCGAGAAGAACAAGAAACGGAAGACCAAAGAAGATAATCAGAAGAAGAAAGAGCAGGAAAAAAAGAAGAAGGACGACAGCAAAAAGAAGAAGGAAGAAGAGGCCCCAAAGAAGAGGAAGGAAGAAGAGGCCCCAAAGAAGAGGATTCAACCAGTCAGGAAAGGAGCCACCAAGCCAGTTGTCGTCGTCCCCAAGAAGAACGTGAAAGCAACCGCCCCTGAATCCTCCCCTCCCTCCTCCCCCGTTCAAGCCAACCATAAAAAGCTCAAAGTCAATTCCTCTGTGCCCTCGTCCCCCATCACTCCCACCGAACCGGCCCCATTGGTGCTTCTAGACCCTCCCCCACGTCCATCTAACCCCCATC